TCCCAGGTTCAAGCTATTCTTCTGCCTCAGCCTCCCGAGTAGCTGGGACTACAGGCGCTCACCACCATGCCTGGCTAAATTTTGTGTTTTTAATAGAGACAGGTTTCACCATCTTGGCCAGGCTGGTCTTGAAGTCCTGACCTCATGATCCACCTGTTTTGGTCTCTCAAAGTGCTGGGATTACAGGTATGAGCCACTGTGCCCAGCCACTCCCCAACTCATATTGTAAGGATGGGAAATTAACCTTAATAAAATTCAAGGACCTGCACAAACTGTAAAATTCCTTGGCATCTTCTGGAATGCAGAGAAATAGTCCATTTTACCAAAGCCTAAGGCTAACATACTAGAATTTGCAACCCCTAACACTAAAAAGAAGGCCCAGAAATTTATCCTCTTCTTTGTATTCTGGAGACATCATATTCCCAAGCTCGTTTAACAAAGGGAGATTTGGCCTTTGTGTAGGCTTATACTTTAGATGTTACACGTGGAAGAATCTTAGGTTTATAGTTTTAGGACTCACAGGTGAAAAGGTTCTGGTTTACAGCTTCAGGAATCACATATGAAAGGGTTCCAGTTTACAGTTTTAGGACTCACATGTAAAAAGGTTTTAGTTTGATCTTGTTTTAAGTAAAAATAGTGACTTCTGGAGAGTTTCCCCAAGGCCCAGCCTGTCACCTATAGGAAGGTAAAACCGGAGGCGCCAGTCAACCTTTTCTTCTATTGAATTGCAGCACGATTGTCAAAGGGGAAGTTGCTCTGAGAAGCCTGGGTCTCCCTCTTCAGTACCTTTCGGATTTTGGACCCAGAAACTGCCAGAGGCTGGCAAAGCTTAATGCCCTGTGGAGAAGCAATTGTTAGTTTGCTATTGAATTTGGTGAAACTGTAACACCTCTGCCTCAACCATATGTTTTTTGTTTGTTTTTGTTTTGTTTTGTTGAGACAGAGTTTCGTTTTTGCTGCCCAGGCTGGAGTGCAAACGTTTAATTGGGAATAAAGATGTTTGGGAAAAACAATACTGGGAGCCGGGCGCGGTGGCTCAAGCCTGTAATCCCAGCACTTTGGGAGGCCGAGGCGGGTGGATCACGAGGTCAAGAGATCAAGACCATCCTGGTC